CCATACATACCCTACGTCCGTGATTTCTTTTCGGATTTTGTCGATGGGAATGAGAGGGAAACTCCAAATGTGGGTTGTAGAAACTTTGTGCACCCCCTCGAGACGCCGCTTGGGGCGGGTCTGGTAGGCCGAGCCTATCCGCAGCACATACCTCCGAAGGCTTCATCGATCGGATTCATTCCATCAGGATCTGAGCACATGATCTGTTCATTAAACCCCGCCAGTCATACTTCCGAGCCTCTTTTTTTTCTGAGGCTTGAAACGTGCTGGAAAAAAACAAAACGAACCTGGCCCCCCTTTTGGCTGGCGTGGCGCTGGCCCGTGAGCTGGGTCGCCGAAAGTCGTGTTCAGCCAGTTCGATCCCCCAAGGTTGGGGATCCAGGCTTTGGGTAGTGGAACGGGCAGCTGTGGAAATAATGCTTCATTACGCTGGTGCCTTCATAACACAGGAGGGCTCCAGCATGGGGAAGTGGGGGGGGGGGGGGGATAGGTAGGTGGTCTAAACTGCCAGTACACGGGGGCCTGCTTTGCCGAACCGCCTGCGGCACACTTAAGTAATTCTTTCTTGGCTGGTGCCGCTGGTCATTGTGGTCTGGTGTTTAGGAGCGGGCGATGAAGAAATCTTGCAAGGCTGGGGCCATGTACTGGCGGCTTAAGCAGATCGGACGGAGTTGGGGTTGCTGGTGTCTGCTCGGGTTGCGGCTGCTGGGGCCAATGCTAATGCTATGCACAATGTATACGGCATGGTTCCTTGTCAATGTGATGGATCGTGCAGAAAGTGCTTGGGAAGGAGGCAAAATTGGATATACCAGAACTCACAAGGAAGTTTGGAACCAACTGCATCGTCAAAAGCATCCCTGGTGCTGCTTCACTCTTTGGCGATCAGCAACTCGCAGTTCGGACGAAACGGGAGCCTCCTCGAAAACGGTATGCCTCCGTTTTTCTTGCTGACTTGAAAAATTTTCCTGTCTGCTGTTCTTTGCTCATATTGTTCTTCACGTCCTGGGTGTGTGCCTCTCCCACTTCTTTTCCCACCTCTCTCTCTCTCTCTCTCTCTCTCTCTCTCTCTCTCTCTCTCTCTCTCT